TATATTAAACTTTACACAGCTTACTCTAAAAGCAAAAACTGTGAGCATAACTCCTTTTCAATAGATAGAAAATCTAATAGTAAACTGCCCAAAAGGACGGATAATTTATATTGTTTCTTCCAACAAAAGAAGCAGTAAAACAGTGACTTATGAGAATTGCACTATATTGAAAAATTAAAGTAAATGAAACACTAGAAATCTCCACCAACAACACTAAATAGAGTGAGAAAAACTGATTTCATATATCCACAGCTAAAGAAACCTTTAAAAACAGGGTAAATAGCACAAATCCTAACACAGAACATTGTTGTTAGGTGTTATTGAGTTGAGTACAACTCATAGTAACCCTATGAACAAAAGATCTGAACCCAGTTCTATCCTGCACCATCCTCACACTTCCTGACACACAAGAGCCCATTGCAGCAGTCACCATGTCAATCTACCTGGTCGAGAATCTTCCTTTCCTTCACCGACCCTCCACCCTTCCCAACATCACGTTCTTATCCAAAGAATAGCCCCTCCTAGAAATGCCAAAAGTATGTGAGGCAAAGCCTCATCATTCTTGCCTCCAAAGAGCACTCCAGCTGCACCCTCTCCAAAACATAGCTGTTCATTCTCTTGGCCGTTCATGGGCTGTTCAGTGCTCTTCTCCAACACCACAGCTCAAAGGTGTCAATTCTTCTGTCATCCTTATGCATCTCTCAGATGCATAGCAAGTGATTGGAAAGACTATGGCCTGAATCTGATGCACCTTAGTCTTCAAACTGATATCATTACTCCTCGATAATTTGGAGAGGTCCCTAACTGCAGATTTTCCCAATGAAATGTGTCTCCTTATTTCCTGACTGCCGGTACTAAGGTTGCTAATAATGGATCCAAGCAATATGAAGCTGTTGAAGTTTCAATCTCCTCTCCATCTATCATGATGCTGACTATTGGTTCATTGGTAAGAATCTTTGTTTTCTTGACATTGAAATGCAGTTCATACTGAAGGCTGCATTCCTTGATTCTTTTGCAACAAGTGCTTCAAGCCCTCCTCACTTTCATCTAGCAAGGTTGTGTCGTCTGCTAACACAGGTTATTGATGACTCTCTCTGCAATCCTGGTGCCACACTTCTCTTCATAGAGTTCAGCTTCTTAATAATTTGCTCAGCCTACATATATAGAAAACTGTCAGAAGTTCAAGAAAGATTTAGAAGAGGCCATGTACCAGGGACATCATTGTTGATGTCAGATGGATCCTGGCTTTTTGTTCTTTATTGAATGACTATGCAAAGACATTTGACTGTGTGGATCATAACAAGTTGTGGCTGACATTGAGAAGAGTGAAAAAATAGAATGTACAATACGATTCATTAAATAAATACACAAAACAACATGCATTCTATGACCAAGTTGTAGACACCGCTTTATAGAAACACAAAACAAAATCCTCACTACTGGGTCAAAAAACCAAGCATCATAGCAAGTCAGAAAGACTGAAGATAATTTTACTTGGATCCACAATCAACATCCATGGAAAAAACCATCAAGAAACCAAAAAATGTGTTGATTGGAAAAATTTGATTTTAAAACTTCTGTAAAGTGACAAAAAACATGGATGTCAGTTTAAAGGCTAAGGTGCATCTGACCCAAGCCATGTTCTTTTTCAATTGCTTCATATGCATTTGAAAGTTGGACAATGAATATGGAAGCTTGAAGGAGGAGTGATGCCTTTGAAGTGCTGTGTTGACGAAGACTGTTGCCTGTGCCATGTGCTGCCAAAAGGACACACAGATCTGTCTTGAGGAAGTGGCTCGTGGAAGCAGGGATGGTGAGACTTTCTCTCACACACTTTGGGCACAGAATCAGGAGTGGCTAGTCCTTGGGAAGGGACGTCATGTTTGGAAAAGCAGAAGATCAGTGAAAAAGAAGACCTGTGATGAGATGGGCTGGCTGGTGACTGCAACTAGGGTGTGGGCACAGGAGTGCTTGCCAGGCTGGTGCAGGACTGAAGGTGTTTCCTTCTGAGGTAGTTTGAGGTCTTGTGAGTCCGAGTTGACTCAGTGGCACTGAGCAGCAGTAAGGGGCATTGTGTGAACGTGGAGAGACGCTCTGGCCCTGAGCACATCAGTGTGGCTGATGGAGAGCTTAACCAAGTGCCCTCAGAACTCTCTCCTTTTGACTAACTTACCGGATTGCTTCTCCAGGTATGAGTTCCATGTGTCTATATCAAAATAGGGCTCAGTCTTTAGGAATCTTTCCAGGTACTTAGACAGAATCGTGCTTTCAAGAAACTGGGGCTAGAACCAAGCTGACATGTGTTAGTCTGAGACAGCCACGAATAGCATAATGTTAAGGGTTAATTGTTTAAAATGTCTTCTCTGGCTGTTTTCTGTCTTAGCCATGTGGACAGGCAGGGAGAGGCAAACAGGGTGTGTTAGTCTATCCACAAGGGGACTGGCTGATTGAGCAGGTCCAGCAGCAGAAGGACACAATGTCACCACCAGCACAAGAGAAGTGTACAGAACATGCTCTTCAGGGTCAGGGGTTCTTGTACCAGCTAGGCCTCCGGCAGCAGGGGCCGTGACTGAGGTAGAAGACCAGACCCAACATGTGATGGAGCTGCCTGCGGGACTGCTGCACCATGGAGTCAGAGCTAAGAGCCTTTGCCCAAATCTGCTGGGTAACTGGGGAGTTAGGGGAGAGCCGTGATTGGCAGGACTGAGAACTCTGTGACCCTGGCCTAAAGCAGTGAGGTTAAAGGCTTGAGCACATTTCAGAAGCTGTCCCAACTGAATGACTCTGTCCTGCTGCTAACCTGAATCATAGTCCGTTGACTTCCTTAATATGGCTTTGTGCGGTCTGTGAGCTATTGCATCAGATTTTGGACCCTAAAGCAGTTAAGACAAGTGTTGGGATGAGTAGAAAGAAGTGTGAGGTGTGGGGGCCATGTCTGACTGCACAGGAACTGGTTTTATGTTGTTGATGTTGTCAAGGGGGACAGCATCCCTTTACAAAGTTGGGAGAGGTCAGGTAAGGTCTCTGCTACCTTTACAAACACTTTCTACTGTTTGGGTAAAGTGATTATTCATTTCCAAACTAGGAAGCCTCACTCCAAACCCTCTCCCAAGGGGACAAAATACTTCCATTTGCTTCTTTGTCTTTCCTAAAGTTGATTAAGGACAAATTAACAGTCACACTGAAAGAACTTCCATGGCCGGAAGATGGACAGAATTTACTCCTCAGACTTTACAATGGATTTCATTGGGTGATAATCCAAGAGCAGAGGAAGGAGAATCTCATGGTGACACCGCTAGCAATAAGTCATGATCCTCGTAGGAGCTGCAACGAGCCAGTATTGAGTAATCCACAGTCCTTACTAAGTGGCCCCAACACCCAAACGTTTACAAAAACAAGCTCGAGTCTCTGTGCACACAGCATTGCTCACATAGCAGCGACAGATGTGAAATCGCCAGCGGATTCTCGAGGGCAGGACTCACAATGAAGAACCACATTTCAATGCGGAGCTGTCACAGACTCATTTGATATTCATTTTAATTGCAGTGACTAGAATGCATTCACTCTGCATTCAAACAGATGTCACAGCACCACTACAGAAGTTGGGTATAATTCATTCTTAGTTAAGCACCAGTGAATGGATATTTAAAATGGAGTGGCACTATGAAGGAGGGGGTGAAAATACAAGCCAAAACCCAATTACAGCAAACATTAGCAACCTCAAACTGCAAATTAAAGGTTTTTATTAAATCACGCTCTGTTTTGTTTTGACTTCTAAGAACACAATATTCCTGGGGAAACCCGCTACGTCAGCCACTGCGACCCTCACATCAGCTCTTGCAGTCAGAACTTGGAGAGAGGAAAATGACTGGGACTCTCTGACTGGACTTGGCCGTACAGTGAGCAAAGTGGCCAGTCTGAGGATTGACTATGCAATCCTGCCATGTGTGCAATCGATTTCCATTCCCGTGATCCTACCCCTGCCTTCTCACGTGTCTGGTTTCGGGCCACATGTTAGCCTGAGTGACAACAACACACAGCACAGTGTCCATTTGTGGGCCACAGGCCACAGAGATGCGGCAAGGGTCTTCATCTAAGGTGCTTCCGATACACCGTCTGGAAATTCTTCCCTAAGCGTCACACGCGCTCTCTCTCACACACCGATACACACTCATGTACACAACCACATACATGTACCCACATTCCCACTCATGCACCCACACTAACACAGCACACCAGTACACACTTACACAAACATACTCACATGCACATCCACACTTACGTACACTTCACACACACCTATTTACACACATTCCCTCAGCCACACAGGCGCTCACACATATACTCATTCACAGTCTACACACATAACTGCACACACCCACACGCATACTCATCTTGCGCATATACATGTATTCACACTTACTCACCCACACTCACACTTATTGGCACACCTAATGACACTCATTCACACCAGTAGACACATAATTACACACTTGCACCTCACACAGAAGCACATGCACGGGCACGCCCTGCAGGGACTGGACAGGCCGTCCTGGCACCATCCAGTGGGAATCGCTGATACCAGGTGTCCAGTGGACTGAAGGCCTCCGCGCGGCCCCGTCGGGTCCCCTGGGCTGCCGAGCAGCAGATGGCCTCCGGAAGGCCTCACTTATCCCTTCGATGTGGTTGGAGGACCCCAGGCGCACTGTTTGAGTTCCCAAAGAGTGTGGGCACACTTTCTGCTAGTAAACGTTGACCAGCACCAGCAACTCTCATGTTCTCACACTTAAACATATGAACGTTCTAGAAAACCATGGCCTTAGCAAAGCCTCTACTGGTTCTAGCATCAGCCTGTAGAAAACAAGCTTACAGCCAGTGTTAACTTATGACCATCTGGGTAGGGCCTAGACTCATGGAGGAAGCCTGTGCCCACTGCGGGCAGTGCAGATGCCCAGGGTGCCCACAGGGCAGCAGCCGCAGTGGCCCAGGTGCTGTCCTACCTGGTGTGTTGAGCAGCCGGGACATCTTGCAGAAGTAGGAGACATACTGTTCACAGTACTCGGCGCTGCTGGTGATGGCCCCCAGCTGGTCCAGGGAGGCACTGTATGCCAGCTGGGTCACCGCATACTTCTCCGGCGGGTGGCCCACCACCTTTGTCTGCATCTGCAGGTCGTGGGACACGATGGTCCACACCTTGTCCTCTGTGGGGAGAAAGGACAGTGAGTATAGTGTAAACACGCATCTCTAATGTCTGAGTAAAGGTGGGTCATATTCAGGGCAGCTCTGGTGGCCTGGTCTGTAGGGACCTGTGCTGCTGAGGCAAAGGTGGTGACTCTGATGGTTCGAAACCACCAGCTGCTCCATGGAGACAGATGGGCAATATCCTCCCATGAGACCTGCAGCCTCTGAAAGCCCTGGAGAGCTGCCACCAGTTGGTTCCAGCTCAACGGAAGCTGGTGAATTGGAATTTTGGGTTAAACACAACATCCTGGGAAGGACGTGAAGGTGGCGATGAACCACAACGTCCTGGAGCAGAAGAGAAGGTGGCAATGGTTTGTCACCTGGCTTTCCTCAGCCCTGGTCTCTGCTGTTATAGACTAGAGGAGGAAGCAATCTTTAAAACCCAAACCCATGGAAAAAAAAACCTAGCATGCGGTCGTGCATCTGGCTTAGGCCCTGTGGTTCTTCCACCAGATGTGGGTCAGAGTGTCTGGCAGTGCCTGGGCTGGACCAGGCGTCCAGCTGTTCCTGGGCTGGGCTGAGGTGTCTGGCTGTGCCTGGATGTGGGCCAGGCGTCCAGCTGTTCCTGGGCTGGGCTGAGGTGTCCAGCTGTGCCTGGATGTGGGCCAGGTGTCCAGCTATGTCTGGACTGGGCCGAGGTGTCCAGCTGTTCCTGGGCTGGGCTGAGGTGTCCAGCTGTGCCTGGACGTGGGCCAGATGTCCGGCTGTGCCTGAGCTGGACTGAGGTGTCTGGCTGTGCTTGGATGTGGGCCAGGTGTCCGGCTGGGCTCTATTGGCCTTTACACACATCTTCTCTTCCCACGCCCGCCATGCCCTCACCAGCTCTTACAAGGTCCCTCGAATAGGGAGCCCTGGTGGTGCAGGGAGTCGAGCTACTGACACACAGGTGCTACTTTTCTGAGGCGCTCTCTACCAGCAGCTCGGACAGAGAAAGGTCTGCAGGCTCCTGGACAGAGCCTTCTCCAGGGTGGGGCTCCTTTCAACACTCAACACCTGATCATCAGCAACAGGCCAGCACCTCCAGTTCCACACTACAGCATCAGTAAGAATTTCTCTCTCAAAGCTCAGAAAGTTACACTCTTAAAGGAGCACAAATCCAAGGGAACATGCTTACTATTTAAAGGAAGCAATTTTCTATCTTGAAAATCAACTAACAGCAACATATTCCAATTTTCACCTCACTTCTATCACAAATTAAGAACCAGGTCCAATGAAGAAGGATAATATGACATATTCAAATGAATGCTTAGACTTCGGGGGGCTGTCTCCTGGTTCTAGATTTTCGCTCCTTCCCTCTACCGCTCCTGCCCTCTTTAATCTGGTAGTGATATGCTTAGTGATCCATTGGGTTTGGTTTCATCTTCCCTAAATCAGTATTTTTTTGGGGGGGGGGTAGCATATAAACTCAAAACCTCAGACTCATTGCTGTCACCTCAAAGCCAACGCTCCAGTGGGTTTTCTGAGGCTGGAAATCACACAGGAGGAGATTGCTCAGTTTTCTCTTGTGCAGCAGCTTGTGGATTTGAACCGTTTACCTCTGGGTTGGCAGCCCAACTCTACACCACTAACAAGGAGAGTCCTCTGTGCCCTACCTATGTGGCATACACTATTACTTTATATTTGTTGAAGTGTCATTTTAAAATGCAAACTGATGCAGTGTATCACATCCTGCATCAGGACAATGGCTTGGAAGCCGGCAGGATTCCTCAGCGCCCATTCACAGGCTGACAGCACAGCGGCTTGCTCAGCAGCCCTACGGAGACTGGGGAGGGGGTTACACAGAGGTCAAGCAGGGGCAGAGCTGACCTCAAGGAACCACCAAAAACGTGGGGAGGGGACCTAAGAGGAAGCACACACTCACACTTCAGGAGGAGTATCCAGGGGTGATCCCCACAGGGTCTGGAGGCTTCAGAGCCACCCAAGTACCTTTGCCTCAACTTGTGACATGAGGTGTGGGATTAAAGCATAAGAGAAAAGGAAATTCCATTCTCATTGCTCCTCAATGCTTCCCTCAGTGACAAGGAAGCGTGGTAAATGGATCAAGGGGTGGGGCCTGGCTGGCGAGGGATTCAAAGTATCTCGATTGGAAAGAGAAGTACAAGATTACAGAGCTGAAATGATGGTGCATAGGCAGGGGTATTGGCAGCAGCATCTTGCAGAAATAAAAGACCAGTTTCCACTTTTAAAAGCATTTCTTCCATAACAAAGATGTCCTTCAAGTTCCTCCATGGAAAAGACGCTCTTTAACCGCTCATCATTTCCTTGACACCTTGCCAAGTTCTACAAACACAGTAATCAGTACACGAAAACCAAGTCCTGTCTTCCAAACTATGGATAAAAAATTTTGGGTATGAACAATAATTAATCTTGGGTAATAGGATCCTTTAATTTCCTTTGAAGGGAGAAATGTCTTCATTTCTAAACCACATTGTGCTAGAGGTCTTAGTCATGGAGAGAGAGAAGTAAATAACAACATTTCTATATTGGATAAGAGAAAGAATTAAGTAATTTCCTGGGTGACTTTAATCCACGGCCCTCAGGCCTGTTTATAATTGGTTTTGGTCAAACATTCTTCTAGGTTGTATAGCACTGGTCTGTTCATCTGCTGTACAGCGGTAACTCTGGCTGCTGTGATGCTAAACACTGTGACCCTGATGTGTCAGATGCGATAATGGTCGCCCATGGTGGATAGTATTTGGTAGAGCTCCCCAATTAAAATCAGCTTGGAAGCAGGAGCAGCATCCACTTTCAAAATAGCTTGCCTCCAGAAATTCTATGAACCTGGAGAAAGGATGAAATTTATACAAGTGTTCAGGTCTTCCATTCATAGGGCACTATGAGTTGCCTGTGACTCGGTGGCACTTACCAACAACAAAAAAACAACAACAATCTAGAAAATATCTTTGACTTGATTAAGATCATTTGCTTTAAGGACAATATAAAAAAAATCAATTGCATTTCAAAATAAAAGAAAAAAATGTATCCTTTTAAGAAGAGTGCTAATGAAGTGGGAGGCATAGCACTCCTTGACCTCAAAACCTACTACAAAGAGGTCATAACCCAAAGAGCATGGTACTGGTGCAATGACAGCCACACAGACCAATGGAACAGAATTGAGAACCCAGAAATGGACCCAACTATCTATAGTCAACTGATATTCGACAGAAAATAAAACCTATCAAATGGGAAAATGACAACCTCTTCCACAAACGACACTGGCAAAACTGGACTGCTACCTGCAGAAAGCTGAAACAGATCCACATCTCACACTATACACAAAAATCAACTCCAGGTGGATTAGAGACCTGGGAGTAAAGTCCAAAACCATAAAGCTCATCAGAAACAAGTTGTGATCAAGCTTAGTTAGCCTTCTGTGGTATAAAGGGACTGTCAAATACAGCCAGAAATGTACAACCTGGAGAAGATAAAATTGATGAATAGGACCTTCTAAGGATTAAATCCCTGTGCACAGCAAAATCTTTTCCCAACAGAGTGAAAGGAAAACCTACTGACTGGGAAAAACATTTGGCAATATCATTTCAGACAAGAGTCTTGTAATGAAAGTTTACAGAATTCTACAGGGATTCCACAAGAAAAAGAATGATAACCCAACTATAAAATGGGGAAAAGACATGGAAAGGCTTTTCACAGAGGAAAATATTAGAATGACCAACAGACACATTAAAAAAAATGCTCAAAATCACTGGCAATGAGAGAGATGCAAATTAAAACCACAATGAGATATCATCTCACTCCAGTAGCAGTGGCAAAGTTTAACAGGACAGCAAGTAATAAATGTTGGAGAATATGTGATAAGATAGGAACTCTTATACACTGTTGGTGGGATTGTAAAATGGTACAATCACTCTAGAAGGCAGTTTGGCGCTTCCTCAGAAAGCTGAACACAGAAATTCCATATGACCCAGCTATTCTACTGCGTAGAATATACCCTGAGAAAATGAAAACTGAGGCACAAATGGAGATTTTTACACCAATGTTCATAGCAGCATTATTCACCATCTCAAGAACACAGAAACAGCCCAAAGATCCAACCACAAACAAATGGATGGAGAAATTATGGTACATTCACATGATATAATTACTACACAGCACACAGGAACAATGATTTTGTAAATTACTTCCTAACTTGGGAGGAACTGGAGAGCATTATGCTGAGTGAACAAACACAGTCCCATAAGGACAAATACTATAAAGACAATTACTGTAGAAATAGATAATTAGTAAAATATGGACGAGGATCTAAGGGGTGGGAGGGTGGGAGCAGAGAGGTGAGAATGGGGGGTGGGGTGGTAATCAAAAGGTTGCACAATTTGACGGATGGAGGAAGGGGATGGGTAGAGAAAATGGGAGAGGTCTGGTGTGAAAAAATAATATATATGAACTTTGTAAGTAAGTAAACCAGTATAAAATAAAATTGAGGGGGGAAAACCCACAAAACTTTAAAAAAAAATAAAATTCCATATGATCCAGCTATTCCACTACTAGGAATATACCCCGAGAAAATGAGAACTGAGAAAATAAAAAAGAGCCCCCAGAAAAAGCAAAAACCTTCAACTCATCACCATCAAGCTGATTCTGACAATTAAACACACGCTTTCATGACAGAAGTTCAGAGAATTTTAGTAAGTCAAGGATTTTCACCACTATGGAAAACTGGAAACATAAACACCATCAGATTTCACAACCCCACTACTGTATATTGGAAGCGGGAACGGCATCCACTTCCTAAATAACTTGCCTCTGGAAACCCTATGAACTTTGATAAATGTCGATAGTTATAGAGAGGCTGCAGGCCTTTGTTCATAGTGTCGCTAGGGGTCATGCTCGACTTGAAGACAGTCAACAACAACATCAACTACTGTGTATATCCTAAAGAGGCAAGAGCTGACACATGGATAGATATGTACCCACCCATGCTTTCCAAAAGCAGAGCAAAGGC